TGGGAGGCACTGGGATGGAATGGAATGTCCTGGGGACGGGCTGGGAGGCACTGGGATGGACTGGGATGTCCTGAGGCCGGGCTGGGGGCCACTGGGGTGTTCTGGGCCGTACTGGGACCAGGCTGGGAGGCAGTGGGGGGGTTCTGGGCTGGACTGGGGCTGGGCTGGATGGTTCTGGGCTGGGCTGGGAAGCACCGGGGGGTGCTGGACTGTACTGGTGCCGGGCTGGGAGGCACTGGGGGGTGTTGGGCTATGGGAGGGGATCACTGGGCTGTTCTGGGGGGACAACCAGAGCAACCCCGGCACCCCTAGGACTCCCAGCACCCACCTGATGGTCTGTACTGGGAAGGACTGGGGGGGCAGGGGCTGCACTGGTGCCTCTTTCCCCCCGGTTTGTCTCCCAGGCTGGACCTGCCGCGACGACTGCAAGTACGAGTGCATGTGGCTGACGGTGCGGCTCTACGTCCAGGGGGGCCACAAGGTGCCCCAATTCCATGGAAAAGTGAGCAGTGGGGAGCCGGGGGGGGGGAAAGGGAAGGGAGTCGGGGATCCCCCCCTCTTGACACCCCCCCTTTCTCCCTTGCAGTGGCCCTTCTCCCGGTTCCTGTTCTTCCAGGAGCCGGCCTCCGCCTTTGCCTCCTTCCTCAACGGCCTGGCCAGCTTCGTCATGCTGCTGCGCTACAAGGCCGCCGTCCCCCCGGCGTCCCCCATGTACCCCACCTGCGTCGCCTTCGCCTGGGTGAGTGTCACCCCCCAACACACCCACTCCTTCCCCCCCCCCCGGGCTGCACCCCACATCATAGAATCATAGAATCATTGAGGTTGGAAGAGACCCTTGGGATCATCGAGTCCAACCGTCTCCCCTACTCTACAAAGTCCTCCCCTACACCATGTCCCTCAGCACTGCATCTAAACGGCCCTTAAACACAGCCAGGGATGGGGTAGTTTGTATTGGTGTTGAGGATTGTTCCGGCCCAGGTGCAGAACCTTGCACTTGTTCTTGTTGAACCTCATGAGGTTCACCTGGGCCCACCTCTCCAGCCTGTCCAGGTCCTTCTGGATGATGTTCCATCCCTCAGGTGTATCGACAACACCACACAGCTTGGTGTCATCTGCACACTTGCTGATGTTACCTCCTCTCTGCTCTCTCTGGGGGGAGGTCTTGCCCCCGTGGTCTCCCCTCACTGCTCTCTCCAGGGGTCTTCTGGCACCTCTTGTGGTCTCCCCTCATTGCAGGGACCCCCCCCTGGAACCCCACAGGGTGATGGAGGGGTTTTGGGGGCGTGGCAGCACTTTCTGTGTGTCCCCCTGCCACGGTGTGGGGTCCTGAGGGCGTTTTACTCGGCAAACCCCACACAGCTCCGGCTGCCACACCGGGGGGGGTTAGAGATGGGGTTGTTGAGGGGGGAGCTGTACCCCAAAAGGTGTGTGTCCCACCCTTGTCCCCCACACCCCACCCCAAATCTTGCCAGGGCTGCTGCCACACACCTCTGCACCTCATTTGCAGGGCGCTCGTTTGCACTAATGAGGCTGACGAGCTTCTGGGGTGGGGGGAAAGGTGACCCAGGTGGGGAGCTGGCACTTCAATGGCAGTGGGGGCCACTCAGCATCTTTT